CACAAATATCTTGTTGTAACAAATTTCAAGATTTTATGTGTACCTTGTAAAAATTGTGACATGCTAGAGTCACAACAAAATAGTATATATTTTTTGTTACAAAAACTCCTAAACTAAATTTTGGTGTGCTAAACAAAGTACAAAACTTGATTATTTTACTAAAAACTATTTTTATTAGTAAAATAGTCGTAATATGTTGTCATCATTTCAAATGGTTTAAAAACATAAAGTATTATGCTATTTACACAACATGTATTACAAATATACAAGTCTATTAATGATTATTTATAAAAAGTGTCATAAAGCGGTTAAACGTGTGTCATAAAACATCAGTCATGAACTTACACTAGTAACGTTATTTTCATTATTCAATAATGGGAGTCAAATTACACGTAAATCTGTTAAGGAACTTGTGAGACTTTCCTTCACTGTACCTACCTAGCATACATCGAAAGTCTGAGTCTCCTAGAGGGAGAGCGAGGTAATTTTATGTAGATCTATATAGGGTTGACACCCCCACACCTAAGCTATTCGCTACAGCTAGATGGGGCCAATCTAGGGTGATAAATAGCTTGCCGAAACGAAAGCCTGAAGAACGTCATGACATGCATATCAGTCATATTAAGCATAGTTTTAACGAATCACATAGGGATTAACAATGTTATTTTGGATTTATGAAATTATACACCTCACTGGTTTTATAAAATATAAAACTACACATCATTTTTGTACATTACTATCACCATCCCGGTCTTAGAGTTTTAAGACTATAATTTTTCATAAAACAATGGGATTTTCTAGGAACACACACACTTTTAAATTATGAACAAAAGACACACATGCAATTTTTTCACAGTTTTAGAACAAGACTTAAAAACCATTTTTCACAGAAATATCAGATTTTCTGGAGTTTTACAAATTATTACAAATCAAAGATGTTACAAAGCTTTTTATACAAATATGCTTATGAACTCACCAACTTTTTAGTTGACTCTTTTCAAAACCACTTGTATTCTTAGGGACTCAGTGAGCAGGTACTTAGACTATGGATGTTGGATATTTTGATGCAGTTTAAATATTACATTTTCTAACTTTTGTATGATTTGTTAATAACTACAATTTGTAAACGAATTAAGAATGTTACCTTAATGTATGATTTTGGGTTGTTATGTTTCATTCATATTCAATTGTCATGATACTATACAATGAAGTCATCTGCCCCCGAATATTCCCGTTGTCCTAGTTCGGGGGTGTGAATTACATATATATGCACACATTCCTTTTGTGTGAGTGTTCTTCATTATTTTTTTAAAATTTTTCTTTTGAATTTCATATTTGAATCGTAAAATATACAATCACGTGTGACTCTTACATAATATGATCACATATGAATCTTAAACGATATGTACATATGTACTTTTGTTAGTGTTCTTGCATTAATCAATTTTTTTTAATCTTTTTGTAGATTTGGAAGAATTTGTGGAAAATATGGAAGATGTGAAAAACGATAAATTGATAAAAACATGGAAATCTTGATACGGAGACATGAAAAAGCTTTCAAATTTTGTTGCGTTTTTTGTTTTTTATATTTTATTTTGTATTGAATAAAATATTTGTACATTTGTGTTTATATATTACTAAATAAAAATTGATTTTTTAATGATTAATTACGAATATTACAGTACAAGAACTACAAATATATACACCTGGAAAAATATGCATATATACACCTAAAACGTTGACTTTTTTTGTTATAAAATTGTTGTTTTTCTCATAAAATAATATAATTTTATTTAAAAAAAATTACTGTTTTTTATATACTTATTGTTTTTAAAATGCTATAGTTTTTTAAAAAAATTATTTTTTTCAATTCTTTTAATAAATGTCATGTTTTCTAAAAAGCTTAAAAAATCTGAAAGTTAAAAGAAAAACGAAGATTATTATTTTTAATAAAAATAAATCCCAAAATTTGATTATTATGTTAATTTACAGATCATTTTACTAATATTTCTATAACAAAAAAAATTAAACATCAAATGTGATTAGTAAGATGACGATCATCCCCTTAATGAGTTGATTTTGATCTAACGCTATGTATTTCGTTTTTGGGTTCTCGGAAAACTATGAATTCTCAATGAATCTCACTCATATATGTGTATATATATATACACACACACACACACACACACACACATGAGAGAGAGAGAGAGAGAGATAACAAATAAAGGACAAAACTGCAAAAATAGTCCTAGTAGTATGCATTTTTTCATGACTTTGGGTCCAAACACAGACTTTTGTAGATTGGTAGTCCTTTTGAGATAGTTTTATTGCGTATTTGGTTCCCTTGAATATTAAAATGATTATAATACCTTTGGGGTATTTATTATTTATTATTTTTCATTTTTAAATCTAATACTTACTTATTAATAATTAAAAAAAAGTATGAAGGGGTCCACATCTGTCTCTTTCTTTCTCTCTCTCTCTCTCTTCTCTCTCTCACTCTCTCTCTCTCATGCAAAGAGTACAATCACCATCTTCATCTTCTTTGTTCATCCTCCCAATAACATTAAAATCCATAATCAAACCTAATTGTTTGTCTGAAATAATGGAAATAATTCATTTTATGGGTTTTAATTAGAAATGTGTATGTATGATTATTTCTAGGATTAGATCTGATGCAAAATGAAAGCCATCTAGAAGGGAAATTTGTTCACAGGAAAAACAAACAACCCAAGAGGAACCAACTCAAGCTCTAAGTTACAACAGTTTAGGGTTGCTTTTCTTCGAAAATGGTAACGCCATGTAAGCTTGAACAATGAAGAGAAAATACACACATTCCCACTCAGACTCACTGAATCGATAGATAAAGAGTCTTCCATATTTAACTTAAAGCACTAATAAGAACAACTAATATGAACAATAACTAACTCAAACTAAGAAGTTGAGCTGACCAACCTTATTTATAGTAGAATACCATTAATACAAAATGAAAGAGAAAAGAGACAGAACATTTGTGTGCTTCTTATTTATTACAATGTTGGATCTGTAGGTGTTTGTGAACCACTACTAGAAAAATAGCCTTTTACGACGCTCATTGCGCGTCGTAAATGGCTCAGACGACGCGCAAATGCGCGTCAAGGAAGGCCCTGTCATAAAGAGAGACGACGCGCATTTACGACACTCATTTACGACGCGCCTTTACGACATGCAATGCGTATCAAGGAAGGCCCTGTCATATAGGAAGACAACACACATTCACGTGTCGTAACCTTAGGATGCACGTGTTAACGACACGCAATGCGTATCAAGAAAGCCCCTGTCAAGAAAGGCCATGTTATAAATGAAGATGACACACATTTTTGCGTATCATAATTTTAAATGTTTAAAAATTTTTTTTTTTTTTTTAGATTTACTAATTTTCATATTAAATTTGCATTTAATGCATCATAAGAGAAAATAAAATATCATATACAAAAAGTATAATCCATTTCATAAAATTTAGTGTCATACAAAAATAGAATCCATTGCCTAATATTTTATTACAAATTTGACATTTTTTTGTTTCCGTACATTGACAATTTGTGTTGTTGCTGATTCCGGAGCCAATCCGCAACTGCATTCCAGAGCTGATTCAGTGGAAAGAGCATCCCAAACTCCATCACTTGAAATTACAAGCCGCCCAAAAGCAGAAGATAGTTGAAGATCATGAATAAATAAAAGTTGTTAATAAAAAAAGGAATAAATTGAGTTTAATTACTAAACACCAACATTCAAACCAATTAATGAAAGTTAAAGCATCTAAATAATATAGCATGGGATGCAAATATATCATGCATCGTACAAACAATGAAGATTTTTAGTTTCTGGAAGATTATTGACATCATTGGGATTAAGAGTTTTATGTGCTTATCCACTGCACCTCATATGTTTCCATCACATTTGAAGGATTATAAGGGTACATAGCTCTATTAAAGATGTTGCAATATCTCTCTATTGTTATGCATGAAACCAAGACATATGATCTTCTAATACTAGAAAACAAGAGCTATTCGTAATAATAAGGCTACATACCTGAGTTTGCTAGAGGTATCGTAAGGTGTTGCTGACTCATCCATGAGTTTTTTCACTAAGCCTACCTCTTTGCTGCATTGATTTAGATTGGAAGTTAATGAGGTGAACAAAGTTATGTTAAAGATTTGACATTAAAATAGAAAACTTGGGAAGAATTTATCACATGTGGAAAGGTTTCAAATAACCATTCAAATCTAAACTTCCAGATGCATATATAAACTTTAAGTTACAAAAAGGGTCCATGTGCTTTCTGATTTTACAGTGTTTAGTCTAAATTTGACAACTTTTTCAACACCAATCCTTATATTTCAAGCTCTCATATTGATTTTCGGTCTTAAAACCTTGAAATAAGGACCAAAATCGATATGAAAACTTGAGATAAGGACCGAAACTGAAAAAGATTTTAATTTTGGACTAAACATGGTCAAAACAGGAGGCATAGGGACCATTTTTTTAATTTACAATAAAATCAAATTACTGGTTACCTGTGGGAGATATATGCGAAGATGATTGAGCATGGATATGTATTTAGGGATTCTAGCTTGTAATTTTGAGGCAAATGATCTTGGAGTAACAGTATCACCAACATTAGTGCTTGATATATGATTTCCATGATAGTAATTACGAATTCCATTATGATTTTCAAAGGCTTCAAGAACAGGAACATTGTCTTAGGTCAACCAGTCAAACTGATGAACACCTTTGACTTTAATAATGGCAGGTGAGATGGGGTTTAAGGCAAACCATGAGTGCATGCTTGCGCATGTTTTCTTATCAGTGATGACATGGAAAATAATATTCTCAGGTGTTAGAGATGACTGGACTGTAGAAGTGACCACAATAGTAGCTGCCAAGATGTTGTCAGTTGAAAGGATAAAATGGTAATATGAGTTGTCAGAAAGGTGTTAAACAATAATGGTGGAACTTATTCAATTCAAAAATACATCAATGTTGTCAACAACCAAAATACAAACACATGTGATAAGCATCTGCACACAAAACACAATCAAAATTACAACTTGAAGAAATTTTATTTTAGAGCAACAGAAAAATGAAATATCAAAATTACCAATGAAACCCTGTATGATGATACACATTCCCTAAGAGAATCAGCCCCTTCTTCCTGATACCAAGATCCATCTCTGCATCATATGGAAGATTTTTGTCAGATAATGATCATTTATTGGAAAAATTACATAATAGAAGAAAGATTATGAAGATATCAGATATAGATCTACATCTGATATCTTCTTAATCTTTCCTCTATTATGTAATTTTTCCAATTAATGGTCATTATCTGAAAAAAAAATCTTTAATAATGCTGCAAAATAGAAATACAATAAAATATATATTATTATAAAATATATTTTAGTATCCAGATTCTAGACTACAAAATTTACAAATCAAAATTAATAGTAAACAATAAAATATGAAAGCGAGAAACCTGTGATAAACAAGCATGCCACCAAGCGTAGTTGTCTTTAGACAGTCCCTAATTAACCTTCCTTGTAAGTGCGATTGTATGTTGTATAGAATTGTCTTCAAGGAGTTGGACGTTCATCTAAGTGTTGCAAATAACCAAATGTAAAAAAGAAACGCAGATTAGGGTCTGCAGTAACACAAACAAAATGAAACACGAATATATCAATAAAGAGTAAAATTCTGAAAATTTAGGGCAAAACCAACTATTGCTTTCTGTTCCTTCTTGTATCTTTAAAATTTTGAAGAGTGAATCGATTGCATGGCGAGGTTGATTAGGGTTCGAGTTTTCTCTTTCACATTACAATTTCTTCTTCTTCTTCTTCTTCTGTTAGACTCTTTTCCTGATTGAGAAAACATACATTTATAAATGGATGGTTTATTTATATCCACATATGTTCAAATGTAAAATTACTAACATGCCCCTTCGGGTGGTCATTTGTCCCTTCTAGATGGGTATCAGTATCAGGCTGCAATTGGAGATTGAAAGAAACAAATCAACAGTTTATTGAGAAATAAATTTGAACAAATAATTTGTTTACCTTTTGTGAAATTTTAGTAAGTTCTTGCTTCCATTGTCTCTTAGCCTTTTTCCTTCTAGCACTTCTACTAGGGCCCTATGGATTCATACCAAAAGTTATTTATGGTTTTGTATGATTAACATTTAACAAGCAGATAAAAATGTTGTATTTGTTTAACTAAGCATGAAAAGACCTTTTTATCCCCATCAGGTGTAGTAGAGGCTTGTTCAATTCCTTGGACATTGTCTTCTAGATATTCTTCACTCCTACATAAATTAGACGGATGGAGAATTATTCCTACATAATTGTAACACTAGTCTATATACACATACATGGTATCAAGATTACAAATTACCTCTTTGTCCTTCAAGAAGATTTAACCTTTTTGTCACTTGTTTTAGCATCTCCCATGTTAGCTTCCTCATTTGGTTTAATCTTCTTCTTGCTAATGGTTTTACTTTTATCATCATCAATGTTGCAAATTTCATCTCTAACTTCACCTTCATCACCACTCATCACCCTGTGTTTCTTCTTCCTATGAAACCCAATGAGAGCCCAACAACAAATTTAATAGAGAAAAAGTAACAAGAAAACGTATATGTATATATGTATATACATATTATGAATTACCTCTTCAACTTGGGAGGAGATTTAACCTCTACAAGGATTGTTTCAGCACCCCCTTCTCCTTGCGTGGTTTAATGATTTTCGTGGGACAAAATTTGTCATTATTAATGTTGTTTTTCTCTGTCACAACTTCATCTTCAACAACATCCATCACTGTTCAGTGTTTCTTCTTCCTATGTTTCACAAAAGCAAACTCATGTAACACAAAAACGTATAAAATTGAAATTCAACTTTATCATAAATATAACACAAAAACGAAATGTACATTAGATTACATGACTTACTTTGAGCTCCTAGATGTTTTAGAGGCTTTTATTTTCTTAGAAGTTGTTTGTATAGGTGAAGGTTCATCTTCCAACTCTTCATCTTTAGCATCCTCAGATTCACTTTGGTATCCTCCAGTTTCCTTATCAAACTCTTCATTTTCTAAAAGTAACATGCCATTATTTACAGGTTCTTTCCTGTTGACTTCTGGATAGTCAAGTAAATTACCAGCATCTGCCCCATGTATTGCTTCAACCAAAGCCATTTCTTTTCTTTTCACACTGAAGTAACAAACAAACATATGTCCACTTGTTAAAGAACTAGTTACATGTTTGTATGAAGAAAGTAGTAAAAAGTTAAAAATTAAGCTGACCAAATTATTTCCTTGTCCTTCAAGATTCGAGTTGACTCAGATGGGGGCAATACAAAGTTGTCCATCTGCAAGAGGTAGAAAATAGAAATTATTTCCTTGTCCTTGTGGTTGTTCCATTTTCACTTCTTCTAATTTATCTTGTACTTCTTGAAACATTCCATAAAATATTTATTAGCTTATTCTTTTACAATAAGAAGGGTATTTTCGTCTCTTTAACAGCAAAATGGTGAACACATGTATACCTTAAGGGATAATTCATGCCCTGAATCTACATAACAGATGAGGGATTAACTGTCTGTGAAATTATACCAAGCATGTAAGCAAAGTAAACCCTAACAAACAAATAAATCTAAAGATAATGAAAAAAGAAGAAGCGAAAAATCGGATTCGTGTTCTGTAGGTCTGAAAGGAGATGCTGAATGAACTGTGGAATAGCTGGACTTTGCATAAGCTGACTCATTGCAATGGGATCAGGGGTAAAACCTATCATTCGTTCTAGACGTTTCCTTAATCCGATATCGCTTCACCTCGAGGTCCTCATCTTCCTGATTTGATTTGGGAGACATGTATTCAACAAGAGCTGATGAAGAATTAGTCGATTTGGAAGGAGGAAGAGCGAATATCCTTATTCTTCCTAAAGATGCCGATATAAAATCCCTAGTTCTTGGGTCTGCCCTTGTGAGGTCAGGAGCATAAAGCCCTAGTTGTTCCTTGATAACAGGGACAAAAGGCCTTAAAATCATCGACGATGTGAGTGTGAGGAGTCGTAGATCTTCAATCGTTAGCTCTATGAAAGATTTTATGAGGTCTGATTTTTGGGTAAGGTTGGGTTGGGAATCGGTAATTTGATGTTACAGAAGGGATATAGTGGTGTTGGTGCTGAAGGGTCGCAAGAAAATGGAGGTGGGGTGACTCCGCCGAGACAATGATCGTTATCATCGTGATCACGAAAGCAAGAGCAATTTTGGTATGAAGAGAAGGCCTAGGGATTTTTCTTCCTAATTACAAGAGGCGGGGGGTTTAATTTTTTGGATTCAATAGGCGGGTGAAATCTCGCGTTAAAAACGCGTGTTTCATTAAAATGTTATAAAGCGACACATTCAGACGATGTATATTTTATGAAAGGCGCCCTCCGCGTTTCCTTTTTTTTCTGACACTAATTTTAGGGCACGCACAAATGCGTGTTATCTATCCTTCAAATTTTGCAAAACTAACATTATTTTGTAGGGCACGCCCAAATGCGCGTCCTCTATCAGCGAGTGTCATTGTTTGCGTGTCATTAAAGGGCTACTTTCTAGTAGTGAACATTCATGTGGCCACCTAGGGCTTGAGATAAATAGATCCGAGAAGGGTTTCAGATGAACACATAGATGGAGAGGTTTCATCAGATTCTTTGCAGATTTGATTTCATCATTGAAGATTGGAAGGATTTTTGTTGGCATCGAGAATCGAAGTGGGTTTTGGGACAGAAAAACCATTGAAGCATTACCTTTTAATGGGGGAAGAAACTATCTCACCACTATCATCACAATCACCAGCCTTACTCCACCATCTCACTGGCCGAGAACCTTGGGCTTGGGTTAGACGAGTAATGAAGGGTTTCAAATGTTTTGGTGGTTCTCCATCCGAAGATGTAAAAACGGGATGGAGAAGGGAAAGGAGAGGATGTGGGTTGGGGTTTGGAGAGAGAGAGAGAGAGAGACCCATATTTTTAAATAATAAAACTTTAAATTAAATAAAAAACATAAAAAGTGTATTAGAATTGCATTTTTGTTTTTCGAGGGACAAAATCACAAACAAACTTGTCCAAAATGACCGTTAATCCAAAAAAGTTGTGGTTTAGACTAAATTCTGGAAAAAAAAAATGCATAACATAAGGACCATTTTTGCAGTTTGGTCAAAAGGAAGAGAGAAATTTACATTATCAGAAAACAACGTAACAAAAACCTTTTATAAATATGAATGATAAGGTAATTATGGTTTTATATAAGCATAATAGATAAGGTCTTGAATAGACTGGAGTGTCTACAACACTTTTGAAGGCGTTGGAATAAAGCTAATATACATCTCTATAAATACAAGTCAAAATTCTAAAGCATTTAACTCTCATTGAACTTTGTTGATTTTGGTATGAACATGAATACGAAATGTAGAGAGAGAAAGAAGAAGAAGAGAGATGGAATCTATTTTCTTATTATTTCTCTGATAACTAACTGATTACATCTTACAAGTAAAGTGGAACCTTAATACAGGTTAATCACTAACAAACTTGATATAGAAACTTAACCAACTATCAATCACGTGATAAACACGTGAAGTTATTACCAACACCCGCCCTCAAATTGGAGAGTGTTGAGCTCCCAATTTGTTTAATAGAAAATGATGTTGCTTGCTTGGTAATGATTTTGTGAATAAATTTTGCAAGTTGAAGATCAGTAGGGACATGTTTTAAGGATATTAAACCATCTTGAAGTTTTTCCCGGACAAAATGGCAATCTAACTCAACATGCTTTGTCCGTTCGTGAAATATAGGGTTCTTGGCAATGTGAATGGCAGCTTGACTATCGCATTTGACTTCAACTGGAAATAACATTTGGGATAGTAAATTCATGCAATAAACGAGTCAACCATGCCAATTCAACTGTCACTCTTTGCATGCTATGATATTCTGCTTCTGCAGAGGATAAGGAAACTGTAATTTGTTTCTTTGACTTCCATGCAATGGGGTTGTTTCCAAGAAGTATTATGAAACCACTCACACTTCTTCTAGATTGAGGACATGAAGCCCAATCAGAATCACAGTAGGCTTGTAATGAATAATCATTGGACTTATTCATCAATAAACCTTGATTAGGATCATTTTTGATATATTTTAGAACATGTGTAGCAGCATCAAGGTGTGGCTTTCTTGGATCAGACATAAATTGACTTGGATGTTGAACAGCGAAAGCCAAATCGGGTCTAGTGTGAACTAAAAAATTAAGCTTGCCCACAAATCTCCTGTAAAGTTCCGGTTCTTCCAAAACCGCCCCTTGTCCTAAAAGTAGTCTGGAATTGGTTGGAAGAGGACAAGCAACAATTTCATTGCAATTGAATTCTTTTAAAATGTCATTTGCAAATTTCCTTTGTGTAAGAATCACCCCCAAATCTGAATATAACACTTCAATGCCAAGGAAAAAATTTAAATGACCAAGATCTTTAATTTTGAAGGTAGAATCAAGAAACTGTTTTAAACTTGTAATTTCTTCTTCATTATTGCCCGTCACCATAATGTCATCAACGTAAACAGCAACAAATGTAACATATTTGTCATCATGTTTGAAAAATAATGAATAATCATTCTTTGAATGCTGATATCCTTTAGTCTTTAAAGCAAATGTCAACTTTTCATACCATTGCCTAGATGCTTGTTTAAGACCATATAAGGATTTCTGTAAAAGACAAACTTGATGTGAATTAATAAGTTTGAAACCAGGAGGAGGTTTCATGTAAATTTCTTCATGCAATTCTCCATGAAGGAATGCATTATTCACATCTAGTTGATATAATGGCCATTCTTTCTTTACAGCGGTTGCAATTAATGCCCGGATTGTTGTCATTTTCACCACAGGAGAGAAAGTTTCATTGTAATCTATTCCAGCTTTTTGAGTGAACCCTTTCACAACTAATCTTCCTTTATATCTTTCCACTTCCCCATTAGCCTTGTATTTAACCTTGTAAACCCATTTACAACTGATGGGCTTCTTTCCTTTAGGAAGATCAACTAAAGTCCAAGTGTTATTAGCTTCAAGTGCTTCAAGTTCCTTATTCATGGCTTCTTGCCATTCAGGGATGGATGCGGCTTCATCATAAGAAGATGGTTCTATGATCTTAGACATGTTGTGAAAAGATTGTTGACTCTGTTCAGATAAAGAATTGAAACACACATGTTAGGGCTGATGAGTGTGTGTGACAGTGTGTATACATGATGCAAAGTGAGGACAAAAATCATCGAAATTTGTAACAGAGGCATTGTTACAAATGTAGTCCTTTAAATGGGTAGGGGTAATAGGAACTCGTTCAGATCTTCTAGGAACAAAGTTGTTGATTGAATTTTGAACTAGTAAAGGAGAAGAGGATGGATCAGGTGATGAACTGATACTATCTTCAAAAGGAGATATACTTGGTTGTGGTGAAAACACTCCCAAATTCATGAGCATTAGTTTGTTGACCATTTGGTAAAGTAATACGATAAGGATTTTTGAGCTTTTGAATATTAATAAGAGCAGATTTATTGAAACACATATGATCACTGGCCCCTGAATCTATTATCTAAGTCATTGTATTAGTTTCAAGACAATGACATTTAATTGGATAATCAAAAATATCTTGGGAGAATAAAGCATTACCAGCTAAATTTGCAGAGACTTGTGGAGATTCTTATCCAACATTGTTGTCATTAAGTTTGCTCAATAGAGAACACAATCGGTGATACTGATCATTGGAGAGTTCTTGCATAGAATGAGTCGAAGTTAAAGACTCTTTAGGACCATCTTGTGATGTAAATTGACCAGAAACATTAGCAGCAACCTTGTTCTTGTTGAACTTAAAATCCTTTGGGAATCCAATCAGTCTATAACATTTATTGGTTGTATGACCACTTTTCTTACAGAAAGAACATGATAGACTCTTCTTGTTCTCATTTGCGGATTTGAAATTGTTTGTTGTAACATTGGATCTTGTATTCATTGAAGCAGATTCAGGAAAAAAATGTGATGGAGATTGTACCTCACGTTGCTTCTCATCTTGAATGAGAAGAGAATAGGCCTTGGTAATTGTGGGAAGAGGATTCATCATCAGAATACTTCCTCTAATAGCACTGTAATCTCCATTTAGTCCCATTAGAAACTTGATAAGCTTTTGATTTTGTTGAAGTTCTTGCATCTCATGAGCTGCAGAGCAAGTACAGTTGGGAATGATCGAAAGAGCACTTAATTCATCCCAATATTTCTTCAGTTTTGTGAAATAACTAGCCAAATCGCTAGTTCCTTGAGTGAGATCTGAAATTTCCTTTTGAAGTTGATACAGTTTTGCACCATTCGATTGACCAAAACGATCATTAAGATCTTTCCAAACTTCTTCAGCAGTGGATGAATAGAGAACAGATTCAGCAATATCACTAGAGAGGACATTCAGAATCCATGACATCACCATGTCATTGCATCGTTTCCAGAGATCAAAATTGATGTGATTAGCGGAAGGTTTAGTTACTTTACCATTGACAAATCCCAATTTGTTCTTTGCTGATAGTGCAATTGTAATCGCCTTCTTCCACGATCCAAAATTGGATCCATCAAATGGTTTGGTAACTAATTGCATACCAGGATGATCTGAGGGATGAAGATAGAGTGGATCTAAAGAAGTAATTTGAGTTCTAGCGGAATTAGAATTTTCAGGTACTGTTCCAGTCGGCGCCATTGAAGCAACAGATGAAGAAGACGAATTAAACAAATCTTAGTGAAAAGATGAATCAAACTTTGAGCATGAATCAGAGTCAGCTCTGATACCATGTTGATTTTGGTATGAACATGAATACGAAATGTAGAGAGAGAAAGAAGAAGAAGAGAGATGGAATCTATTTTCTTATTATTTCTCTGATAACTAACTGATTACATCTTACAAGTAAAGTGGAACCTTAATACAGGTTAATCACTAATAAAGTTGATATAGAAACTTAACCAACTATCAATCACGTGATAAACAC